GTATGACAGTTGAGGGAGCCGCACGCTTTAAACGTCATTATTAGGGATTAGCCGTATAAAAGAATGCCACGTGGTGTATTGGTTAGCAAGATCAAGATCGTGCAATCGTGCTCAATAAATGCGCCTTGGAAATAGAGTATTTGGATTTTGAGTGTTAATTTTGTTTCTTCAAGGTCGGAGCTCGACCAAAGGATTCAGGCCGAGGACCTCAGAAGCGAGGGGGCAATGTTTGGGCTTAAAATATCAATTTAGGCCGAGTATAGAATTATTCTCGGCCCATAAGGCCTTACGACATGGTTATCAGGGATCGTTTAGTTCTGGATCGGTTAGGTCGTGGGCTTCCAAACCTGGGCCGGTTAAGTTATGCTGCAAGACGAGTCGAATCTTGGTGCAATGAGGAGTCTCGGCAAGATTAATAACCCGGAAGTGAATCCGGCTCAATAAAGGACTAGGTTCACAATTATAGTGAAAATAGGACTGGTCGAGTTAGTGTTTGATCAGGAGAAGAAGTCCTAATCCGGGTAGGTTTTTAACTCGACCTTGAAGGTATCCGGTGCTATAAATAGAGGAGGCTGTACATCGTTCGAAGCCCCTCCAATTCAACACATAACTGCCCTGTGCAAACTCTCTCAACAACTTCGAGATTTTTATTTTCTCTTTTCGCTGACACATCTTCTGTTGGCATCAACAGCACTGTGAAAGCAACCGGTGATATCTTAAGTCGGCATAGATAGCTCTGTCGCCGTAGAATCAGCCGATCTCGCAGCATCTTCCGTTGGCATCAACAACACTGTAGCGAGGACGGTTGGTTACCTATTCAAGTCTCGGTCGAGAAGGATTTCCGAATCCTTATTGATTGAGGTCATCTCATTAGCCTTTTCGGCGAAGTGAGGTGTTACAGTTTACTGAGCTCGGCGCATTGCATGCCGAGTTATTTTATGATTGGATACTCTCAAGTGGGATTTAGAGTTCGACATTCAGACGGCCGAACCACATTCACTATTAAGACTTATATTCACTTTGAGTATTTGTGCTCTTACACTTTGGTGTCGATTCGACGTGAGTTTAATCTGACGAATAACATCACTGTGATCGAATCTGACGACGACAATTCGTGAACTTCGTAAGAATAGTAGATTTGTCTTCAGGTTCGAGAACCCAAGAGGTCGAGACGTGTTCCTTCCTTGGTCGCAATTGCAAGACGCAGAAGTCAGCCGCGCACCCAACGCAACATCAACAAATTTACTCCTCGGCCGAGCTTGGCCGACTAGTTGGCACGCCCCGCATTCACCGAAGGACGTGGTTAGTTTATAGATTACTCGGCATGCGCGCCATGTAGGCTTAGTAGTTTTTAGGGTCAACAGTTTGTTCATCTTCTGTCGAATTTCTGTGCAAATATTTTTGAAGCCCAAGTGATTCAAATTTCAAATTTATGAGTAAATTGTAAAGTGTGGGTGTAGACACCCAATATGACTTTTACATGGTGTTGCTATCCGGTTTTGGATAGAATTATAATGGGGACTGTCTAAATTTTGGTTTAGCTGCAGATGAAGTGAGATCAAAAGGTTATAAATTAGAGGTATAATTTAATTTTTGTATTTGATGTGTTTGTACCATACTTGACCAATCCCGAAACTACTGAGCAGCGGTCAACGTTATACCGTCAAGGACCCAGAAGAATTTCCCTCTAACCAGGAGGCCAATCACAGCGCGACATGTGTCGACATCAGAAGTCAATCATAGCACGACACATGTCAACATCAGAAGCCAATCACAACACGACACGTGTCAATGTCTGAATGAAATCATTCTCTCACAATATTTCCTAATGTCATTTGTACTAAATCATTCACTTGTACTCACTAAAGGAGAGCTTGAACCTATGTACTTGTGTAAACCCTTCACAATTAATGAGAACTCCTCTACTCCGTGGACGTAGCCATTCTGGGTGAACCACGTACATCTTGTGTTTGCTTCCCTGTCTCTATCCATTTACATATTTATCCACACTAGTGACCAGAGTAATCTAGCGAAGGTCACAAACTTAACACTTTATGTTGTACCAAAGTCCTCACTGATTTTGTTCATCAACATGATGCATCATTGAATTAATGAATACAACAGGAACATTGACTTGACATTTATGCTTTCGTTTTATTTTTTAGAATGGAAAACTGAATTTTGTGTGTTTATGAGTGTGTAAACTTTTAATTACAGTGGAAGTGACTGAAAATTATCGGGAATTAGTATTAAGTTTACACACCGAAAGAAATATATCGAAAATAGTATTATTTGGTAGAAGGAAAATTTGGTTTCAATTAAAGGATGGCAGGAGGAGAAGGAGGAAGACCTTTGGAGCAAGCACCAACTTGGGCAGTTGTCGATGTTTGTTTTGTTTTGGTTTCGATCCACATCGAATATTTCATTCATTTAATTGGAAAGGTTTCCTTTCACATGTAATTAGGTTAATTTCATCTTATGAAGTTATTTTTGGGTTTATTATAAATACGAAATGAGGTATTTTGATTAAATTTTAATTGCACTCCTTCCAGTGGTTGACAATGAGAAACAAAAGAGCTCTCTATTAAGCTCTTGAGAATATCAAAGCAGAGCTTATGCTATTAGGGCTCCTATCTTTGCTTCTAACAATAGGACAAGACCGCATTTTAGATATATGTACAACGGAGGTTGTTGGGGCAACTTGGCATCCATGCAATAATAAGCAAGATGTCAGATCAGACAAAGGCAAAGATAAGAGTAGTGCTTCAGATGACTACTCCCGCCGAAGGCTTCTCTCAGCCTTGGATTCAGTGGGGGGTGGCCGATGTGAGCTGCTAGATATGACAAATGTGCAACCAAGGTACACTGAATTGTCCATACTTTTAGTTTTTATAAAATACGACAAGTTGATATACATATATAGAGAGCTGATACCTCTTGGCAATTCATGTTATTTTGTCAAACTGTCGTTTGGTATAACATTATGTAAATACTTTTATATAAATACCATGTACACTCCATGCTTATAATACGTTCGGGAGTATGCAATTAGTATTCATATAGATGCTTATTCATGTTAACGATAAAAGCATCTGCTTTAAGTTTGTCCTCAAAACTTATGCTTTTTATGCTTATTAACTCGGTTATTGGTAAGGCTCTTCTAGAGGCAATGTTGGCATGTAGATGATGAAGGCAGAGGACTAAAAGGCATTGGCTGTTGGGATAATTGGTCCTCCGAATTCCCGGGAAGTCTGCGATCACTACTTTTATGGTTTGTTCTTAAATTTCTCTTTTCCTCACTTAATGGGATAAAACTTTGTTGTTGTTCTTATTCCTAAATTTCTCTTTTACGATTGCGTGTAGAGACATTACAATTTTTAGTCTTTCATCCCTTGCAAGCACTGTACCATTTTGACCAAAACTTTCTCTATACTCTCCCCTTTTGACAGCCTTTAATGAATCGCCATGAGGTTTCATTTCCCGCTTTTTATCAGTTCTATTTGCATCTTTTTTTCAAGCCAGAAGAGCGGACTTCATACAGTACTGTGGAGTCAAAAATATTCACAAGACGACACGTGGATTTTTGGATAAAAGAGGACAAAAATACCCTTGAGGCATACCGAGATTCCTATGCATGAGCAGCAGGCAATCATCCGTTAATCAAGTCAAAAATGCCCAAATAAAAGTTATTTCATCCATATACTCCACAAGGTAACCATTCCCAACATTCCATTTAAATTAGATTAATTGGTGAATTAATGGAAATTTTCCCCTAATTAATCCATTAAATCACCAATTAAATGACCCATTATGCCAATTAATCCCCCATTACATAACCCATCACCCATGACACACCAAAAGGAGCCCAAAAGGGCGGGCCACATCTTCTAAAAATGGGATTGGTCATTCTCTATAAATTAGATCCCATTTTCTCTAAAAAGACCTAAGTTGATACTCTTGTAAAACTTCCAAAAATTCTCTAAACACTTTTTCTCTCTAATTTCTAACTTTGGCATCGGAGGTTCTTCGGCCAAAGCCTCCTCCCCCCATTCATCGTGGGCGCATGAGGATCTTGGCCTTGACTTAAGGTGTTAATTGTTTTGTAGGTGCAATTTTGTCCAAGAAGAAAGCGGCGGAAATTTGCATCCACAAGTACAGCATGAGAGAAAAACCTATGTACAACCAATTTTTTTCAAAGGACCATAGATTACTTTATAAAGGTATCTTGATATCTCATATAATTCGTAATGAATTTCAACTCACAATTGAAAAGTTGTATTGGCTGTTTCAACTCATAGATAGTTTAAAGTGTTTATGATGTAGGTGACTGTAATGTATATTGGGTAGACAGTTAATGAACGCCTTCAAGAGCATTCTGATTGGTCCTTATGTATCTATGTAGTATCTAACTATACAACTTTCTTTTGTATGATCCTATACTGTATTTCTTTAATGTTGCACTAGATTTAACCTTAGTTTTTTACTAATGTGTGATGGTGGATTTGCAGTGCTTTTGTATGATTCATAGCTGTTGAGGATCATAGCAGCACTTCGTTTTGATTTGTAAACAAACTATATATTTTATCTTTGTCTTGGGTTACAGTATAATGTTTAACGATTGAATTTGTAAGACGGTTTAGCAATTTTTTCAGACGTACTATTCTTGCCAGATCCTCAAGTATTATGCCGCCCTTTTCTGTGTTTTTCCTCTGTGTAGTAGGCTGATTACTTGAAACTATGATATTGATGACACAATACGATCTACAAATGAATGTTTCTTATAACTATCCATATATAGTAAGCAAAGTTTGACTTTATTGATTCTTGGGAGTTTTAATGAAAAGGGCTTGGATCCAAAATATTTTAACAAAAAACCACCCTATAGTTTTCTTTAACCAAAAGCACCTCAAAATTAACCATAAGGCTAGGGCTTTCAAATTCTACATGGGCTGGATTATAGAGCTCAACATGGATAAATTTAATTCCAAAAGTACCCCTAATAGTAGAAAACCCTCCAAGGTCGACTAGAAGATCGCCTACGATTCCAAGCTCTGCTCCCTCAACGAGTATGGCCAGGTCCTCATTGTCGCCGTCGACAACGTCAGCTCCAAGTAGCTCCAAAACATCCGCGAGAGGTTGCGCGGAGACTCCGTCGTTCTAAAGGGGAAAAACACGATGATGAAAAGGTCTGTTAGGATCCATGCGGAGAAGACGGGCAACAGTGCCTACCTCAACCTTGTCCCCCTCTGTGGTACGTTCTTTGGCTCTCTTTGTGGTTGCTGATTTGTTTGTATTCGTTGGTTTTCTGATTTGTTGTTGTTTTTGGGATTTAGAGCAACGTCGGTCTGATTTTCACAAAGGGTGATTTGAAGGAATTCAGTGAAGAGGTTGGCAAGTACAAGGTAACCGAATTCGATTTCCTTTTTCGTTGTTCGAATTCATGATATAATCAATTTTAATGCGTTTTAGTTGTTGTAGTGATGTAAGATGCGTATTGTGTCATAGGAAACTATAATATGTAATTGTTTGTTGTGTAGATTTCAAATTGGTATGAAATTTAGTGTATTTATGATCAATGCGAAACCCAATTTGTTGAATTACGCGTAAAAGTAAAATTATGAAGGTTCTGCTGTTTTTGAATGTTTTTAATTCAACAAGATCCTTTTCAAATATGATTATGTACATGGTTAAGAATTTGGTGTCCAGTGAAGAAAGAACCTCATCTGAGGGTGCTTTTGATAAGGCCTACGGTTTGCATCCTCAAGGACCATTCGCAAAAGCATATGGAATGTTCGGGGAGTGCATCCGGAGAAGGAGTATCATCGGCTATGCCAACATTTGGCAGTAGTTGGGTTGAACATCGTAATGATTTGGTGACAGCTTTGAATTTGTTTCTCTCTCCTTCTGGTTTTGCTACTTTCAGAGCTCCTGCTGCTTGCTTACATGTACCTATATCCATTTTTCTGATTAATGTACTGTGTTTAATTGATCAGAGACATCCAAACCATCTTTTTTATTTATTTATTTATTTTATTTGTACAAACGAGCCATTACAAATGATTATAAATTTGGAAATGTTGTAAAATCGACAGTGTGCAGTAGAATGAATAAAACAAGACACAAAATTTACGAGGTTCCTCTACAGTCAGTGTGACTGGAGTATGTCCTTGGAGCAACAGTGGTGCTTTGATATATAATCTGGAATCATAAGATTACAAAGATAACTCTATTTTCTCCTCTCCTCTCTTCTTCCTCTCTCTGTTGTGAGCCTTGTCGCTTCTCTCCCATTTCTCTGCACTGCCGTGCCTATCTCTCATCTCACTTCTCTCTATTCTCTTCATTTTTTTTTATTATTATTTTTTTATTTTTTTTTATTTTTTTATTTTATAAGAAGCATGATCAAAGCATGTACATCTTTTTGTAGTGGAACAAAATAGTGGAGGACAAATATTATTCCATATATAGTTGAGTGGACATCCACTTACTTTACAACATTCCCCTTTGGATGACCACAATTTTTCGATTGACTCATTAAAATCTTGATCGGTTTTTGGATGCTCCCCCTGATTTCAAATCATTTAGGCTGATCGTTGATCCTTCTGCTTCAGTCTCTTAGTGAGAAGAGTTGCCGAAAGAGGTGTTTTACTTGTTGTTAATTTTCCACAGGCTTGTTCTTGAATTGGGCTGGAGGGCCTTCTGGTTTCCTCCAAAAGTCTGAATTTACTTCATTTATCTGGAGCTAAATTTTATTCAAGGGTGATGGACACTTGATCTTAAATCAAACTTATGATTTCTTCAAGGATCTTAGAGGCTTGATCTTGAATGAAATTGGACCATGAGGAGCTTCATGTGGCAAGTGATCTTCGACTTTGTCGAGGATGAATCAATACGTGTCATTTTTGCTTGCCTTATATGTTCCCATTGCATAAGTGGTATTTTCCCTGGTTTTCCCTCATGCATGTGTGGCATCTTCTCTTGTAGGATTTGTCCACTGATGCAGGAGTGGAATGCAACCCTTGCATTTGAATGATTCATCATTTCTTGGTGACTTATCCATGTGTGGCAGCTTCAGTGTAAATAGCCAACATCATATCAACAGTTGAAGATGAGTACTTGAGAGTAATGCAAGGCAAGCAACCAGGCAAAGATTCCGGGCTATCGGTTCCTTACCGGAAGTTTGAGTGGAGGTTTCGACATATTGCTTTCTTTATCCTCGTTTTTGCAGGTAAGAACAAGGATAAAGGAAATGACATGGAGAAAGCATGATACGAGATACTCTTGCTCTGGTGTGACTTGTTTTAAAGAGGTATTCTCGGAGAGAAAGAAAACTAAGTATGTTGAGATGTTTGGTTGCAGATGCATTTTCGGCAATGAGAGAGAGTTAGGAGTTTTGGATGTGTGCCTTGCCATTGAAGATGAAGGTTGACATATATAGGGATTTCCTAATAGTAGGTAGTGATGTGGATGTGGCTTTGTCATCCACGCTTGTCGGCAACAGTGTTGTAGTTGGAATAGTGAAATTCACGCGTTTTCAACTCTGTCAGAGATTTTTTGACAAAATTGCACGTGATATCCAAAAAGCCGAGATTGCGTCTGAAAAATGTTGACTGACTTTATGCAGGGAAATTCGGCTTTTGAAATTTGGAGAGCAATGCCTCTTCGATCTCTGAACAAGTGGCTATGTTGCCTCTCATTTTATAAAGGTATCAATTGTATTCAAAATGCACACTTTGAAGATTTCCCGCCTGTGAAAATTGTCTCTGCTGTATTTATGAGATTTCACTATATCCAACCATTTTCCTTCATCAATTTTTGAAAATGGCTTGCCCATCTAACATTTGCTTAGATTTGAGTCTTAGGACTAATACAGGCGAGCTGCATCAGGATAATATATGGCGCCCGTCTTTCTTATCTTCAAATGACCCCCTTACAGTTAGAGATTCTGTGATGAAGAATAACATAACCGCTACAGTGGTAGCTAGAAATCTTTTCACTCCAAAGGATAACAGAATCCTTTCAGAACGGTCTAATGAGTTGGCCGTTCAAGACTCCTTGGTTCTCAGTGTTCAGTGTGCTGGTTCCGTTTCCAATATAGGCCAACACCTACTTGCTCGAACTCACCAAGTTGAATCATTGATAGCTGAGGTGTCAAATCTTAAACAAAATATCAAAGGGCTCAAGCACGAGAATAGAGTGGTACACATGCTTACAAATAATTACTCAACGAGCATGAAAAGAAAGCTTGACCAGCTGCTGGAATTCGAAAGTCGGACTCAAAGTGACAATCAGAGATTCGATGCTTTATTCCAAAGGCACCTATTGCCTTCATCATCTGGAGTTTTACCAAGTATTGAAACTCCAAATAATCAACCTCTGGTGCCTCCCCCTTTTGGGGTACTTCCGAGTACTGAGGTTTCACATGATGTATTGTGTCAAATACATTAAAGCATATACTTCACTAAGATGTTGTACTTCTGAACCAAATATCAATTCATCTTCTCCCTCACGAGGATGAATGATTTTTCTTATTATCTAAATTAATAACCACTTGAGTTTTCAACTCATGATCTTCAATCCAAATGATTCTTTAATATCATAAACATCATGGATAAGGTTCGTGTTGGCATATTGTTCGATCTGCAGTTCGAGACAATATTTCTCTCAACACTTTATAATCTTTCTTGACTCTTCAGGAGAGTTCTAATTTAATGTCATTGACTTTCGCAAGAGATTTTAATATGTTGCAACAATATCATAATGATAGTACTCACTAAGGCAATTTATACCATCCATTGGTATTGAGTACATATTTTATGCTTTACCTTTCGGGGGCTTACTTCTAGCAATTTGAATCCTTCAGGGATTTTCTACACTTCATGACACATTTTCCTTTGGAATTTATACAGAGCAACTTGCTCCCATGTATAACTGAGGGATTTACTTATGGAGATATGATATGGGCGACTCACAACCTTTCGTATATAATTCTCCATTCATATGAACTCGTTTACAATCTTGTGTCATATCATGTGAGTATATTTCACTATATTACAAATGCCCATATGTAACCTCATTGGTTCAACATATTTTGGCTATTTGTATTGCATTCAAGTATATAGGTACATTTTTTCATGTTCTTACAAAATTGTAATGGAATTGTCTTTCTCTATTTTGGCCAATAATTTTGTTGACGAAAAAGAACAGGGCTCAATATCAATACAACTCATTGATGAATTTAGTAGCTACTTATAAAAAACCAAAATCACCATTGGTTATCATCAATCCGTTGCCTCTTCAAGGGCATTACACTATCTTTTCCAGGATAGTTGTAATTTAGAGAATGTGGATCATAACCTCCTCTAAAGCGTTATAGAGCTTGGATTTTAATCTCCACTTCCAGGAGTTGAGTCATTTGGAACCTATACGTCTATCATGCTTCATCCATGAGACATCAACATTCCCATGTCCGCGGATTGTTGTATATCCATGCGGCGACTGTCATGCTTCTGGAATGCAACAATTATGCTTCACGAATACAATAGTTTAGGAGTGCCATATTCTTCCTCTTTCGGAAGACTAAATCTTTTTTGAGTTTGAGGGTCTGCCACGCTTCAGGCGTACAACAGATAATTATTTGCTGCCTCATTATATTGTCCAACAGGGACATTAGGCACATTTGCAGCAAGTGTAAGTGATTTCATCACTTTCGTTGCATCATTAAATGCATCTGGCATTTGATTGGCATCATTCAATTATTTGTACTTCATTTTCATGTTGATTGCTTCGTGAATCAAAATAAGACAAATTCTCTTCGTTCTTTTGGAACGGTCTTTTCTCATCATTCTTCTGGAATGATATTTTCTCATCGTTCTTCTGGAATGGTGTTATTTTCTTCCCCTAACAGCGGGAAATTGTCTTATCAAAATGACAATCTGCAAACCATGCGGTAAACATATCCCCAGTCAAGGGTTCTAAATATTGAATGATATATGGTGTTCAACAGCAATGCCCAATCCGCGATGATGCCTCATTTCAGTACGTTGTGGCAGTGCAATAGGCACATAGACAATACAACCAAAAACTCGTAAATGTATAATGTTTGGCTGGTGCCCAAACAAGAGTTGTACTTAGAAGTATTGATGGTTGGCAACATGTCTCAAACAAATGCATCATGTAAAATTTGCATGTTCCCATCTGGAAATTTCGTTTTCATGAGCAGAGTACAGGTAATCATTTTCATCCGCTTAATAAATAATTCTGCTAAACCATTTTTGGTTATGGACATGAGGAACATAGCGTTCAACATCAATGTCCAGTGACATGCAATAATCATCAAAACTTTGAGCTGTAAACTCTCTAGCAAACATGCATTATATTATCATTTACATAAATCAAGGAACTTCTGGTCCTTATTTAATAGCCTATGGATTGGGATCCTCATGGCCATTATTACAATTAAGTTGTGGCACTTCGGCTCTTCAAACTTAAGGTACTCATCAAGGAACTTCATGTCCGAGCTTGAGGGTCTAGGGACTTCATGCATGATCTTTTTGCATAATGGAACTTCGGGTCCAATCATTTTATGTGATGAGGATCAAGAAACTTCAAGTTCTGATCTGATCAAGGAACTTCGGGTCCAGTATGTACTCATTAACAAAAAGAAGTACAATAAATAAATTAAAGCAATAGGTAGTAATTCCAGCCATGGTAAATAAATTGCTTTTAAGTAAATAAATCTTGTGACAAGGGCTTTGATTCAGCACCATTCACATAAATATCAAAGCTTTAAAGCAAAGGGCGATAATTCCATCCACTGTAAATAAATTGCTTTAAATAAATAGAACTTGTGATGGGGTTTTAAACCAACACCATGCACATAAATATGACAAAACAGAAAATGCAATTATTAAGTCCTCATCTTGTGCTTTTTCATTTTCTTGGTCTGCCATTTCTTTTGTTTCATCCTTTTTATTTTTATTATTATTTCACAGTTCTAAGTCATTTTAGTTACTTAGGAAATAATAGTAACAATAAGTTCCAATTAGTGTTCCTCCTCTGTGAGTTTCGAAAAAGTTGAAACGGTTCTCATAAGTTTTGGAGTCAAGAGTGTCTACAACGTATGAGAAGATCAAACCGTTGGATTTAGCTCAAATTTTAGTATGATATGGATAAGAGGATACCGAACAACGTTCGTGAAGCAATTTTGATATGAGCTACCTAAATGAAGTTTTGGTACTCATAAGTTGCCTGTCTAATTTTCTGCAGAAATTGGAAATTGGTTTGGTATTTCAGGCATCTGCAACGATTGCACCGTTGGAATTTTCTGAAAATTTGATATGTTGTAGGTATTGGGTGGACGAACAACTTTGAAAATTTCGATCTGAGGTCTGCAAGTTGGAGTTACGAGGTTGTTTACATGGCTTTTAGATTCTCTACGAATTTTGAATTTGTACTATTTTGCTTCTGCAAAGGATGATATACAGTCATACAACAACATATATATATATATATATATATATATATATATATTTGCTTCAGGAAAATCAATAGTACAAAGATTTTAAGATGAAATGAAAAGATTTTCTTATCTGTGAGATTTCAGGAGACAGATGTGAACATGATTTGTGACGTTGTGCTTTCCACTGACACGAGAGCTTCTCGTGTTGATAACGTGTTGTAAAATCAATGGTATGTGCAGTGGAATGAATGAAACAAAACACAACATTTACGAGGTTCCTCTACAGTCAGTGTGACTGGAGTATGTCCTCGGGGTAGCAGTGGTACTTTCATATATAATCTAAAATAATAAGATTACAAAGATAACTCTATTCTCTCATCTCCTCACTTCTTCCTCTCTCTGCCGTGAGCCTTGTCGCTTCTCTCCCATTTCTCTGCACTGCCGTGCCTATCTCTCATCTCACTTCTCTCTATTCTCTTCTGTTTTTTTTTTTTTAATAAGAAACATGATCAAAGCATGTACATCTTTTTGTAGTGGAATAAAATAGTGGAGGACAACTATTATTCCACATATAGTTGAGTGGACATCCGCTTACTTTACAACAGGAAATGATTTCCGTACTATCATTTTTCCCTTCCTCTGTTGGATTCAAGACAAACATGACATCTTTGAAAAGTCATGTTTCAATCTAAAGTTCAAAGTAGCATGACAAACTGAACACAAATATTATTACTATTTTTTAAATAGAACATTGATACTATCACTATTTTTCAAACTGAACATGGCTATTATCATTATTTTTTAGACTGAACACTGATATTATCACTATTTCTTAAACTGAACACTACCAATTTCTTATACTGAACACCACCAATTTCTTAAACTGAACGCTGATACTATCACTATTTCTTAAACTGAACATTGATACTATCACTATTTCTTAAATTGGACACTGACTATTTATTAAACTAAACACGAATACTATCATTATTCTTAAACTGAACACCGATGCTATCCCTATTTCTTAAACTGAATATTGACTATTTTTTAAACTAAATGCTGACTATTTATTAAACTAAATGCTGACTATTTCTTAAACTGAACACTAACTATTTTTTAATATGATACTATCACTATTTCTTAAACTAAATACTAATACTATCACTATTTCTTAAATTGAATACTGACTATTTATTAAACTGAACAAGAATACCATCACTATTTCTTAAACTGAACACCGATGCTATCACTATTTCTTAAACTGAACATTGACTATTTCTTAAACTGAACATTGATTATTTCTTAAACTGAACACTAACTATTTCTTAATCTGAACGCTAATACTATCACTATTTCTTAAACTGAACACTGATACTATCACTTTTTCTTAAATTGAACCCTGACTATTTTTTGAACTGAACACGGATATTATCACTATTTCTTGAACTGAACAGTAGTACTATCACTATTTCTTAAACTGAATACTGACTATTTCGTAAACTGAACATTGACTATTTTGTAAACAGAACCGATTATTTTTTAAACTGAGCTGACTATTTTTTAAACTGAACACTGACTATTTTTTAAACAGAACACCCACTATTTCTAGAACTGGACACGAATATGATTATTTCTTAAATTGAACTTTGGTACTATTACTATTTCATAAATTGAATATTGACTATTTCGTAAACTGAATATTAACTATTTCGTAAACTAAATATTGATTATTTCTTAAATTGAATATTGAATATTTCTTAAATTGAACACTGATACTACCACTATTTCTTAAATTGAACATGAACTATTTCTAGAACTGAACGCGGGTATTATCACTATTTATTAAACTAAATACTTGTACTATCTCTATTTATTAAACTGAATACTAACTATTTTTTAAAGTTGAACACCGACTATTTACTTTCTTTCGCTTCTTCTCTAATCTCATGCTCCAACTCAAACCTAGAACAAGAACACCCATATATATGTAACTAAAATTTCCTTTAATTATGATCATGGCAATTGTGATACAATTTTTTGCAGGTCCTTGAATTCTTTGTTTCTTTTTGTTTGTTGGTTTGGCATGTTCACTAATAAGTAGATCCCACTAAACATCCAAACCCATCTTTTTTTCAGTTTTTTAATTTATGCAAAGTTAAGACAACCAGCTTGCAACAATGTTATAAAAATTGGGGAACTAAATCTTACACATTAACCAAAGGGCCAAATTACTATAAAAATTCGACACAGGGAACAAGATTAGTGTTGTCAAATGCCAATTAAAAAAAAATTAAAACTGGAATTTTGGACTGAGTGCGAGTGGAATTCCAGATTTCCAAAGGGGAAGGGACAGAAGGAACACAGTTCAGGAACTTGAAATAAAATTGGTAATTTGATGTAACGTGTGTCATTTCCTTCTTTCTCCTCCTCCTCAATGTCGCTTCTTCAAAGGCCACAAATCTCTGTCGACGCACACGAAGGCCCCGGTAATGTCAAAGACCACATGGGAATAGCAGCCAAGTCCCACCACTTGGAGTGGTCTATTGGTATCCCAAACGGCTTGGGAAGATCTGGGAGCAAGAGGAAGAAACCCGAGGTCATCATCATGATGCTCTGCATGCACAACCATTTAATTGAGGATACACCAGGAAGGATATACATGATGGGAAAGAGAAGAGGAAGCTTATCAAGCATTTGAGTGTATCTCATTACCATGATTCTAGCTCCTGTTATAATACCCATTAGGAAATTGGGAACCAGAGAAGCTACAACCATCATGAGGCTCTCTATACACATAATGCGAAAACTCCGGTCGAAATTTCACCAGATAATAAGAGTGATTGCAACCAAGCAGAATATGCTGGAGGTAAGGGTGAAACATGATCTTCTTCTTTCCATCCATGTTGGTATTCAACACAAGCAGAATATGCTGGAACTCCTCATCTGTGAATTCTCTGCTCGCGTGTGTGAGTTGCTGTGAGCGCAAAACTGGAAACTCATTGTTTGGGCCATTATAATTGGACTGATTTAATATTGGGCTTTGTCATAACCATTAAATAAAGTTAGTACATGATTTTTTTTGTTAACATTTACAGTTTTCAAACCCTTATCATTAATTTTTCCTTGATTCATTAGCGCTGAATAAATCAGCGGGTGTCCTTTTAGTTGTAAACCGGAACGTATTCAAGATAATTCGGTGTCTCGGAAGAACCCTAGCATCTAAGTTACACATTCCGCATTCCTGAGAAGTCTTTGAAATGTGACTCTAATTGTCATGTTTTTTACGTGAAGGGTCTTGTAATTTTGATGGACTGCAAACATATATAGGAGAAAACTCCACTTTCTTGGTAATTCTCCATCTTGGAGGAATATAAAAAAACAAAACGTTGGGAAATAAAATACATGATCAACTTTTAAATTACTATAACAGAGAGTTTATTTAATTCAAAAGTAGCCTTATTCCAGATGATACAGGCCCTCATGCCTTTCTCTCCCACACGGCATAATCCTTTCCAGAAGTCGAAACTTGGAAGTTTGGAGGTATAAGTTGGCCTAAATCCATCTTCGGACCAATCTTGACTATGATTTTCTCATCTATGGAAGCTACATAGACATCTGCATCGGCTGCTAGAATGCGCAAGGCACTGTCGGGTTTGATCCCATTTCTCGATCTGATTGCAGTGAGTTTAGAGATCTCCCCTTTCAAGCCCCAGTCAAAGAAGTGATCATAAAACTGTCACAAAAGATAATGAGATAAACAACTTTTAAGCGTGGACCATAGGTATCAGTTATAAATAAGTTCACCAGAGCAATAGCAAGAACGCAAATGCTAAATAGTGAGTGCTTCACTCTGCCTCAATTCTCACATTCTTTCATATTTTTATAGATTGGAAACAAATTCATTATAAAGAAGGATGGCAATGTTATAGCTTGAGAAAAACGTAAATAATACCATACGCAAAACTGACGCAATTGCTGACACTCTCTAGTACAGGTGGGCCCTACATCATTTGTATATGGGGCCAGCCTTTATAAAAGAATATGTCAACAATGATGTCGGGTTTGCATGCCTATAGCATTACTCAAAGTTAAATGAAAGTGTACGAGCTTACTATTGATGGGATCCCTGGATGAGTGAGAATGTAAGCATATCCCTGCATGACCTTATCAGATGGAAATGGCCACAAATGTTGTGTGGAACCTGTATCATGATTGTCAATGAAAGTTACACTACTTCCTGGCTTCAATCCGATCATCCCTGGAGCGCCACCATTCGAGTCCTTCAGCCTCCAAAGCTCCCCTTGGACTGCAGCTTGAAGTATCCCTTTAGTTGTAAAATCAAATGCTGTAACACCTCCTCCAGCACTCTCCACCCATCCGACTAGCGCTTGTCGATGTGCATCTTGATCTGGGTTCGGTTTTCCATCACTTCCATAAGAAAGGGAATTCCAAAGTTCCCCTACTGCGAAATTTGGACTTGTATTTGTCATATACAGCTTGGTATATTCAGGAGCATATCCCTTAACAAAATCAAATCTCCAACCACTGAACCCGATTTCAGTCTTTAACCAATTCATCCAATCCGAGAGCTCTTTCTGAACCCTTGTGTTTTTGTGGTCAATGTCAGGAGCACCACCGAAGTCCTCTCCAGTGTCAGGGTTTCCCTTGCCATCAGAATTTTTGTATCATCACCGCAAATAAGAGACGGCCCCCAATCAAGGCGATCATCGTCAGTTCCTCCTTCAAAGATGCACCATATTCCTCTCTCGTCTTGCTTCTCTGCAGTTCTGTGGTTTATAACTATATCTGCCACAGACTGTATCCCACTGTTGCGGTACGCACTTACCAGTGACTTCAATTCATCTTTGTTTCCAAATTTTGAATTGAGATCATAAAGCCTTCCCGGCATGTATCCTTGGGAAATATATGAGATGAAGCTTCAGGACAATATTGTCATATAAGGGTCATACAAGACTGTTCTTTTGAAAGTAAACACCTAATACCGGACTTCGCGTGCTAGTCCGGAGATCATATTCTAGCTCAAAAACTTTAAACAAAATCTGGTTTGGTCTAATGACAAAGTTCAAAAGAGAGTTTACAGTTTAGGACATAGAAATACCTTCATCTGAAGCAGCATGAGAAGATGGAGGAAGCCAAACATGTGTGATTCCGGAACTAGCTAGGTCTTGTACAGACTGCTTTAAAATGTTGTACCATCCTCCCTTCCTGCTTGATTCCCAGTTGAACCCCTGACCATCAAAGACCCGAAAACACGTTAGTCCTATTGCGAGAGAGAGAGAGAGGTAAAGTATTCATATAAATACCTGAAAGATGATCTGTGAAGCAGTGAAGTTGGGTGTGAGAAGGATAGAGAGTAGGAAACAGATGAGGGGAACGTTTCGAGTGTTCATGTCTCCTTTGAGCTTGAATTGCTTTGTGAACGTTATGGTTCAATACTGTTTTTCAATGTTATATAACAAGATGGAGGGTGTGAAAACTCGACAGTTATCTGGCCCAAAAGAGGCGCAAATTTGACTTTTCTGGCAAGTGATTTGATTTGTAAGGAAAGAAACTAAGGTACGAGATTAATGAGAACAGTCAGACCAAGGATAATGATCCAACATGGGAGAAAAATCTTGGGAGGAGACTTCACTTGGTTCCAAAATCTTGACTATTTTGGTAAGTGGAAAGCTGACTGCTACTTTGCCAAAAGATGTGAAAAAAACTTCGACTGTTTTGTTAAGTGAAATCCCGACTGTTTTGTTTAACTGTGTTGATATACAAAATCAGTGAGGACTTTGGTACAACAGAAAATGTTAAGTTTGCGACCTTCGCTAGATTGTTCCGTTCACTAGTGTGGATAAGTATGCAAATGGATAGAGACAGGGAAGCAAACACAAGATGTATGTGGTTCACCCAGATTGGCTATATCCACGGAGTAGAGGAGTTCTCATTAATTGTGAAGGGTTTACACAAGTACATAGGTTCAAGCTCTCTTTTAGTGAGTACTAGTGAATGATTTAGTACAAATGACATTAAGAAATATTGTGAGAGAATGATCTCTATTTATAGAAGAGAGTTTCTAGTTTCATTCTAACATTGACACATGTCGTGTTGTGATTGGCTTCTGATGTTGACACGTGTCGCGCTATGATTGGCTTTTGATGTCGACACGTGTCGTGCTGTGATTGGCCTCCTGGTTAGAGGGAAACTCTTCGAGATTGCTAGCAATGACGGTTTAACTGGATTCTCCATCGATAAGAATCTTTGCAGGAGGTCTTGAATCAAATCAGGCAACATTAACACTGTCCTGACTTCGGCCAAATTGTTGCTTCCAGAGAATCTACACATGTTATAGTCTCAAATAGGGGGTTAAAAGACCCCGATTTCTATTTTGGTTGAGGACTACTGTTTGCTTTATCCTCAATAATTAAGCATATAATACACTTGTGATACAGAAATTTGTAATTAATTAGTTCATTCCAACAAGGCTCCTGCTTTTTTCTCCCACACACAGTAATCATTTCCAGAAGTTGCAATTTGGTAGGTTGGAGGTACAAGGTTCCCCACGTCATACCTTGGACCAATCTTTGCTATGATTTTCTCATCTGTGGCAGCTACATAGAGATCTGCATCAGATGCTAGAATACGCAAGGCACTGTCAGGTCCGACCCCGTTCCTTAATCTGATTGCAACGAGTTTAGTGATCTCCTCTTTCAAGCCCCAGTCAAAGTAGTGGTCATAAAACTGTTACAAATATGTTCAGATAAGGAAAATTTAAGAATGTATAAGTAAAAAAAAAAAACATTAGTTCACTAGATCAACATAGTTGTTGACTAAATCCTAACAAAGTTAACTTTTCAGTCCAAAGAGATTTCTGTTCCAATAACTATAAATCTCAAATTGTACTCAGCTAGACGAATTTTAGCGGTTATGAAGATGCCAGCTTTCCAGCTTGGAAGAAAGTAAATCAAATTTAGAATCTTACGATTGAGGGGATTCCCGGATGAGTAAGAATGTATGCATATCCCTGCATGACTTTATCTGATGGAAATGGCCACATGTTCTGTGTAGAACCTGTATCATGATTATCTACGAAAGTTACACTCTTTCCTGGTGACAAGCCAATCATTCCTGGTGCCCCTCCATTCGAATCTTTCATCCGCCATAGTTCCCCTTGGACTGCAGCTTGAAGTATCCCTTTCGTAGTAAAATCGAATGCTGTAACATCGCCACCAGCACCCTCTACCCATCCCACAAGTGCTCGACGGTGAGCATCTTGATTGTACTCGAGTTTTCCATCACTTCCATAAGCAAGGGAGTTCCAAAGTTCCCCTACTGAGAAACTAGGCCTCGTGTTTGTCACAAACAACTTGGTGAATTCTGGAGCGTATCCCTTGACAAAATCAAATCGCCATCCATTAAACCCGATTTCAGTCTTTAGCCAATTCATCCAATCTGAGAGCTCTCTCTGGACTCTTGTGTTAATGTGATCAATGTCAGGAGCAGCACTGAAGTCAGCTCCAGTGTCAGGGTTGCCCTTGCCATTGGAATAAGCTGTGTCATCGCTGCAAATAAGAGACGGGCCCCAATCAAGGCGATCATCTGGAGTTCCTCCTTCGAAGATGCACCATATTCCTCTTTCATCTTTCTTCTCTGCACATCTGTGGTTTATGACTATATCTGCAATGCTTTGTATCCCGTTGTCATGGAAGGTGTTTATCAGCGCCTTGAGTTCATCTTGGTTTCCGTATCTTGATGCATTCAGATCATAGAGCCTTCCAGGCATGTATCCTGGGAAAAGTGAAGAGTCAAATGACAGTCATCAGCTGCTGCAAGTAGCTAATGACTAAATAGGAAGAATGTTATCAAACTAAAGTTCAGTGCCGTTTGGGCTATAGGATATAGGGCTCGTTTGATGCCTAGGACTGGAATATAATTTAATACTTTATTGTACTCAAGGTATATATGTCGACGGAATAAGGGAAGTCCTTGTGTTTAACTCGAAGGTAGAAGATAGATTACTTAGGAAGAAAATTTATCCCTTTTAATCCCCTCAAAATAAAAAATCATTCACCTCTACCTACACACATGAATTATATGAGCTATTTGACGAATTCTAGGTACCAAACTAGCCCTATCTATGGAAAATTGAATTAGACCAAACGATGAAAACGAATGGATTTAAAACGATTCCGTATAAATCAAAGTTCATTTCAAATATATTGTATCGAATTGAATGCATCCTATCTGATGTTTAACAGATTTGTTAAACTAATTCGGCTGCGTTATCAAATTGTAACCTGGTTTTGAGTAGTAACTGAATTGAAAAGTGCTAAACGGGGGAGGTGAAAGAATAGCATATACCTTGAGGTGAAACAGAATGAGAAGGTGGAGGAAGCCAAACATGCGTAATCCCAGAAGAAGCTAGTTGTTGAGGTATGGACTGGCTTAAAGATTTGTACCATCCTCCTTCCTCCTTCCATGATTCCCAATTGAACCCCTGATCATCGCTCACCGGCCAGCCCCAGAAAAACCGTTTAGTCATTCAAACACACACACACACACACATATATATATATATATAGAGAGAGAGAGAGAGCGAGAAAGAGAGAGAGATTACCTGAAATAGGATCTGGGGAGCAGTTAAGTTGGGGAGTAGAGGTATACAGAAAAGGAGAAAGAAGAGGGAAGTGGTTCGAGCTTTCATGTCTCTTTCCTTGCAGAATTTATTACCAGAATGTTTGTTTGAGGTTAAATTGTAAAGATTATCGATCGATCTAACTCTAACTCTTAACAATTCAGATGGATTGGATAATCTGGATTGGAGGTGTGAAAAAGTTACTCATATTCCACTTCAAGTCTTCGCGTCAAGAGTCAATATATTGGAATTCCTTACAAGCCAAGCTCAAGCATTATATTGAATTGGCTACAGTTTTGTTTGTGGTGAGTTGACACTTCCTCCCCACAACACCAATGTCACGCATCCAAATGGAGTGCTTTTGCAGTTAAGTCGATAGAGAGAGAGAGAGTTTAATAGCATCGTAAAAGACACATCTTTTTTTTTTTTTCTCTAATAAGAGCCTGGTTGAGAAAGAATCTCTAGAAAACAATTCTGCTCACAAACGCTTTGTATTTCACGAAAAAAAGTACTTGTACGCATAAACGCTTTTGTTAATTAGAAGCAAATCGAAAATCACACGATCTGACATAGACATGAAAGTATTAAAAACTTTTTTTTTCCGCCAAACGCTATAAAAAGAGCTTTTCATTTCTGGAACATTCTTTTAGCTGCTTTAAAAAGCACTATGAAACTGGCCCTTGAGTATTAACACTACAATTGTATTTGTTTGTGAATCAGAGTCCGCCTAGAATCAAACCACACAATCTGGGAGAGACATGCCGAACTTTTGAATGTGAGAGCCTCCAAATTCAAGAAGTTCAAGGACTTGTGCATAAAAAGCATGCATGTGGAGTGCGGACATTTCACAACAACACATGCTCTAACAAGCTATAAGCAACACGCTATCTATGGGAGAACAGACAAATTACGCAACATAAACTGAGGATGGAAACACAAGGGGTCCGTTTCGAAATGTTTCTATTTTTGTTTTCCATTAAAGATAGAGGAAAAAAGAAGAGAGAGAGAGAGCGAGAATATAGAGTTCGAAGTGCTACTACAAAGGAGGTCTTGAATCAAATCACACAGCATGCCAAAGAAATTTTCTATTTTCTATATTGTGAATACCTTTCAATTCCCCATACAAAGGCTAAGCCGAAACAAGTGATTATCCAGAGAAGAATTATACAGGAACTGCCTTCTATTTATACACCCGAAAGCTTAACAGAGACTCCACTGTATAAGGAAAACAAATATATCATCATCATGAGACCTGCTCCGTGTTCCTACCTCCATGATTATCCGCACTCGCCATAGAAAATTTGTAAATGGAAGAAATTATCAAAGCCCTTCCTACAGATAAGGACCATTTTAGAGTGCAGCGACAAACCGAGGAGTCAAAAGTAGTCTCCCCACCATACTAGCACAGCCACACAAAAAGAACTTGGGGAAATATTCCGCCTAATCATCGTCCTCTGAATCTGTAAACAAGGGCAAAAAAAAAAAGTATTCAGAAAAAGGGAGAAAAAAATCCCATCTAAAAAACACTGAGATACTTCACTTTTCACTTCTAAAATGTGTTTCCATTGTGGGTTAATGTAGATGTTACATATGGTTGGTTTAAGGAACACAAGATAGTTAGTCCAAGTACAATGAATAATCCCACAATACAGTGACAGAATTTGAAACGTGGCCATCAAACCAAAATCCTTAGCTTAGATATGGGCAGAGCCTTCACCAATACTTGGTCTGGGAATCTGGGTAGCAAAACGTATCAGCCATAGGCCAATGCCAGAAAACCCAAATTTACTTCCCAGTTTTTCTTTCCCAACTTGCATGCTCACATTGGGTTCTAACATCGTGTTCCTTTTCTAATGCAATCAACTATATTGTTTTACGTCAGGTCAGGAAAGAAAAGTTGGCAAAAGTAGCATTGTCCTTGGCCACATCCCCATTTGCCAACAAGCTATTTGCAGCATGAGCTGACACCCACGAGGCCACTTGGGACAAGACATACCAACTACTATAGGTGAATTGGAAATTAAATTTCTAGGACTAGTAGAAATCATGAAAATTTTAATTCAATATGATGTATCCTAGTCACCAAGCCATCCATATCAATATATACTATCTACGTAGTACTTACATTGCAACAGAACTACGTACTACTTTCTGTATCAGTTGCCTGGACCCTGATCAAATTTCCTTAAACTACCCATGTAGTTACAACGAAAACAAACTCTAAGTAGCCATTAAAATATAGTATAGATAATGTAAGTCCCAAATTTACCAATAAGACTAGTAACATGACGACTTTTTTGCATGCAGTCTTATTAAATATCAAGGCATGCACTTATTAACAAAGTGCCTTTTACGGAAGAAACTCTGGCTAAATGCTTCCAGCCATTACTGAATTAATGAGATCAAGAGACAGAAAGTATACTTTCCAAAATATAATAACGTGCTTCACAAAATAAATTTCATAAGCACTATTCGGAATTGTAATATTTAAAACTCTCAAAGTAAAAGATATGGTTTACCAGATCTAATATCTTCTCCAACTTGTCCTCTATTGTTCACCTGTCTCCTTATCATTGAACAAATCATAACCCACCAGTATATGTGGAACACAAAAAGCATCAGTAACATTGTATTGAATGCATAATACAGAGCTCTGGGAGAGGGCTTCGATAGATCCAAGCAGTCACAAAGATCATAGCTGGAAAATATCAACATAAGAACAGATAAGTTGGAGGAGCCACCGTACATGTAAATGTGGTTTAATAAAATGATTTACCATGAGAGCAGACCTTGATGCACTTATGACCCAGAAAGGGAAGAATATTAACCGCAGTATGGCCCACGAAACAGCAAAAAATCCAAAGAACACACTTGCCGCAAGCTCCTTCTCAGAATACTTGAAAACCTTGGCAGCTTCCATAAATACGTCACTTCCATCGTGCAGGGCAAGAATGATTGAGCCAATCCGAAAAAAGCTGAAAGTGGACAATAACATGAAAGTAATTGCACGAGATCCTTCACATCACACGAGTTAACACAGCTAAAAAGTTGTTCTTTGCAGTACTGACATATGTACTTGCAGAAAACCTGAAATATACCTTGTTATGTATGAGAACCCAATCAGGAGAACAGTAATTACATGGTGAGACATCATCACTGAGAAATCCTTCCTTCGAGTCTCCCATGTAAGGAGGGCAGCAATGCTGTAGCTGTAGAATCCACACTGACACATATAGAAAAGCTTTATGGGAAGCCTGAAATAAGCAAGGATAGGGTCAGAATAGACAATTTTGCCCTGCTATATCTGTCAAACTCAACTCATCATAAATCTCGAGTTTTACATATTCAAGTCATTCCAAACAATATGCAAAATTAAAGACATGACTGAGACATTTTCAGCAATTAAAAAAAATGGTTTATCTAACCAGTAGTTTAGGACTATTAAGCCCAACCGTATGAATCACTAACCGCAGCTCTTGGTTTGGCCAGCCTTTAAAGTACTCTTTTGTATCTGTGAACCATGGCTCATGGTAGGTTATGCTGAGAATGCATGCTTCAACAGTGGCATAGTATGTAAGCTTCCACATTGACTCCGAACATTTTACAATCTTTGCCCGTGTGGCCATATCAAGCTTCAATGAAGCAGATCCCTTCCTCAACAACCAGACGGAAATATTCTGAAAAGCAGAAAAGAAAAACATAAAATATTGTAGTATGAGGGATAAAGTTTTAAGGTAAGATAAGGTTATAGTTTAATCTAAGATCTGATCACTCTGTTTGCCAAAGACATGCTACTTGTCAGACTTGGGATGATTATGATATGAAGCTTTTTAAATTTGAATCTCACTGCTTTTGCATTTCATTTATGAATCTTGTGAAAAACATATAAATCTGGTAAAGCTGCATTATAGTTACAGATGGTGTGGTGGTTTTTGGGGCGAGGGGGTCAAGTTTAAGCCTTCAAGGTAAGATAAGGTTTAGAGAGGCAGATGTGAAGTTACAACGACCATATTCCCCTGTTACCATGGTGAAATAGATGTCATAGAATAAAAGGAAGATCATTTTTATAGCTCAAGAATAGAGTACATCGTTGTACATACAGTAAAGAACACAAAAATATGAGTTCTCCTAGGATATCGAATTAAATTAAGATAACCAAACACTGGGATGAAGCCAATCTAACAGTCTGTAAACAGCCTATATTACCAACACTTGGAAAACCAAATTAGAATTCCCAGGGTATCATCTATATCACCTTAAAATCTACAGGTTAAGGGTCCATAACGAGCACCCCCTTCAGATGCTACACCAAAACTTACTGTATCAAAACCTTGAACAGCCCGACATCAGCAAGTTAATATTTAATTACTAACTAGTCAACCTATACTCCAAAGGACCAAATCTAACAACTCAGCACAAACAAATCTCAACTTTTGCCGGAATCAGAAAAAGGTTAGGCAACTACCAAGTTTAAGGCCTACGAAAATCACCGTTTCCAGATGCTAGACCAGAAACTAGCACTAACAGAACCTTAAACATCCCATCATCATACCAAGTTCATAATAAAACCTCACAACCATTATTGCGGATCTGATAAATCATCGAAATCTCAAAGTCTCCGGAAATCAGGACCATATAATCCTCAAACAGGGCAGTTTTTTTTCTTTTCTTTTTTTTTGCGCTTCCAAATCGCTGAAATTACTGGACTAACTCAACTCAAGCAGATCACCATAATAAAAAACATATCTGCTCATCCATTAAAGGACCAATTATGCTAAATGCCTTTACTTAAACGCGTCATGAATGGAGTCCAATAAACAAAAGCGCCACTCTAACTAAGCTACGCAGCTAAAACATGAAAAAGGAAAGATTTTTTTTTCTACAAAAAGAAAAAGAAAATACTCCTAAAAGTCAAGAAAGTAAAGCAGGGCAACATAAGTGATAATACAATTCAAGATTTCCTTCTCTCTCTCTCTCTTTCCCACAATTTTCTCAGAAGCCAAACAGAATCCACCAAACTTTCATAGAAAATTGAACAGAAAGCTAACGTTCAAGCTACTTGAAATGGCAACAAAGAGCTCGAAACCTTACGCGAAAGATGAATCTGTCGAAGATGAGGCGAGCAGCGAAAAAGCCGAAAGCGAAGTAGACAGCGACGAGGAAATCCCATGAGCCCGGGGCGGCATTGTGGCTCCAGAACGAATCCATGGGCGGTGCCTTGGAACCACAGCTCGGGCGAAGAGCATCAATCAGCGGATCAAATTCCAGGACAGCTTCCGACCTCAATGGAATGGATCAATGAGCAACAATTGCAGGCGATATTCTTCCATTTCCCAATCTTGGGGATCTGTATTTGCCCTAATTATCTGTCAGTGCGGGAAGAGAAGTCTGGATTTGGCTGGTTAGGGAGGGGAGTGTGTGAGCATGTAAGAGAGAGAGAGAGAGAGGAATTATGTTTTCTTGTATTTTCTTAGAGCGAGAGATATTGCTATTTGCAGAATTTCAGGAATTCCATTTTTAGTAGTAATCTTCATCTAATACCATTAAACAGGAGTCAATTGATTGAAAATAAAATTAAATATTAAAAATACCGTTGAAAGTGTGATATTGCTATTTGGTCCTGTCATTTTAGTTTTCTCAACATTTGTCTTGTTGTTTTGTTTATGATGGCAATCAGGTCCTATAAGTTTAAGTGGTCGCAGGAAAGTTTTGATTTTAGGGGTCAAATTTTTTTTAGAGAGAAGCATAACGTTATACTTTTTCATGAAACCGCTTAATAACTATTTCGTTTTAGTTTTATTTTTATTTTTTAACATCCTAGATAACTACTTTTAGTTTTTAGTTTTTAAATAAAATCTTCAAACTAAAATTTGAAAACAAAAAAGTGAAAACTACTCTATTGAATTAAGATCCTAAATAGGTATACGGGACAATTTCGAAGTGCATGAGTGCTACTATCGGGAAAATGATCCTCGCCGGATCCTTTTTTTGGGAATCCTAGGAATCCCGTCAGTTTTCGTTAAGTACTATTTATATTTAATTTTAAATTTTAAAATGATTTCCGACCGAACGATGTACGATGGACATTCCTGATCACGGGATCCCTAGGAAAAGGATATGGCGAGGATCCTTTTCCCTATTATCGTATTCGCCTAACCAGGCTTACAAATTGAGGATCTATGAGGTGATATTGCACTTTTAACGTAATCTCTATGGTGAAAAGTTATGAATTAAATCATGTTGTAAGCTCTGGTAAATAAACACAGGTGACTCTCAGGTGAAGAGGTTAAAGTGATCCTTTGGAACCAATAGCTAGGATAAAGTCATCCTTTGAAACCAATGGCTAGGATAAGAGGTCGCGAAGGCGACGTTGTGCCTTATTTCTTATGTTTGAAAATGTTGATGTTGTAACTTGTTTAATAAGGCAAGGCTGCCGGCCGCCGAAGAAAAGCAAAGAGAAAAATCTGCATTCCCATGGTCCTCTACCGCACAATAACAACAGAATTTTCCACATATAATTATATAGACAAAGAACACGCAACCTTTTGACAAGTTGATGGAAAACAAGGATGCACATATTGATTTTTTCTTCACACACACACGTCGGTGGTGGTTGTCTTCCACTTCCACATAATGTTCTTGTAAGGCTGCATTCGACAACTACGTGTGGGAAAATTACAAAAAACCACTTGAATTTTGATTATTTAAACATTATGAATCAAATTATTGAAGTGTAATGTGTCACTTGCAGTCCTACATTATTCAAAAATATATTCTTACACACTTTGCTTGAATGGTCAAAGAAGGTGGCAATAATACTTGACCTCATTTTCAGTAAGGAATATAATGCAAGTGATATTGATGTACCGTGTATCGCAATTAGTTGATTACAATAATGTGCTCTCATCTATGAGTTTTTATTTGTATTAAATTTAAATAGTATTAATTAAAATATAGACTAAGTGTATTTTACACGCTTAATCTTTGTTTGCGGTGAGTTTGAAAATGAGTCATGAAGTTCTAATTTTCTCACATTGCACCATGAAGTTTTGAGATTGAATCAATTTATCTCTTTGAGCATCTAATCACATATTAAATTGAAGGTTTTTTTTTTTTTTTGTCAACATTATGCAAATGTGGCTTACATGTTAGCCTAGGGGTGGGTTCGGTACGGTTACCGTACCAAAACCCTCGTACCAATTACCGTACCAAAGTTTCGGTTTGGTAAAATCTATTACCATTACCATACCAAACTTTCGGTATACCGAAGTTCGGTATTGCCAAATGTTCGGTTGGCATTGTATGGCAATGGTAATTGCCACTTTGTTTTGGGACAAAATTTGTTTTTGCTTTTTTAACCCAATTCAAGGGCAAAACTTTTTTATTGTACCTTTATCTCATACATTGTAGCCTAAATTCATCTATTATTCATCATTTACAATTCACACACACAATAATTCAAATGATGCATCAAGATTCATGATGAAAATTAAGCTTACAATCCAAATAGAAGTTACGAACCAAAACAAATAGAAGTTTCCCCCATGCTAAAGATCTTCTCTATCCTCCATTGGTTCAAACACACCTCTAGAACTTTCCCAATGTCTTCTCCCTTATGACCCGTGATCTTTATGAAGTTTATGATCCGTTTGTGCAACTTTCATTCACTATCCATGAAGTGAGCGGTAACTACAATGTAGTTAATGTTTTGTACCGATGTCCAAGTATTGGTTGTGATACTTACCTTTTGATTATGCATTGCTTCAAATAACATAAACTTCTCCAACACATATAAATCCCACACATTGGCCGCAATCTTCTTCCTATTTGGAATCTTGAACCGAGGTTGAGCCTCTTTCATCATATCAAATTATTAGAATATTATAAATATGTGTTATATAATTATATATTATATAATTTATAAATTATATATTATATTATATATTCGGTACGGTAAGGTAATACCGTGGTAATGATATCCATTACCAATACCGTACCAAGAAATTTCGGTATGGTACAATACCGTACCATTACCGATTGGCACAAAAAATTTGGCACAAAATCGGTATGGCACGGTTGGTAATTCGGTTGGCACGGCAATTTGGCAAAAAAATCCACCCCTATGTTAGCCTATATAAAAATCACACGCTCACCATGTCGTCAATTTAATGAAGACAAAAACTAATCCGGTCAAAGATACACATTGATACAGTATCAATATTTTATGGTGTAAAATAGAAAAATTGTATTCAATTGAATTACTCCATGTGAATTTTTTGATGAAATCTTTAGAAATCTTAGAGGGATAGGCCTGATTTCTTAAAGCCTAAAAAACACTCTTTCCATATCCACTAAAATCCGTCATCTTTTAAAATACTTTGATCCTAATTGAATACACATGGAGTTTCATGACGCATTTCAAAATTCGAAATTAATACACTCAAAATCTTGATTGAATACTCATGAACTTCCATAGATTCATTTACCCACGTTTCGCGGCTTTCTAGGAAGGTGTGTAGAGGTACGGCTTAGGTGTGTACACCGCACCTTCCAACCGTGTGTTGTTTTCGGCATTGTTACTGGTGAAAGTATTTTTCGTTGGCTTCTTTTCTCCGGTGAATGGGGATTCAATTTTTGTGGTGTTTGGTGGAGGAAGATGGAGTTCTTCTTTTGTGATTATGGGGTGTGCTTGGTGAGATCATTGGCGTGGGGTGTTGGTTTGTGGTCGGCGGCGACAGAGGAGGCATGTTTTGGGGTATTTTTTGTTTGTGTGGTTTTATATTTTGGGCTCTTACTTTTGGTTGGGCTTTCGTTTGGCGTTGCCTTGGGGTTTATTTTTTGTTTTGTGCTTTCAAGTGTAATTGGGCCCATGTATGTACTTGTGCTTTAAAGTGTCATTGGTCCATGCTTTTTGTTCATGATAGTAATTGGGCTCTTACTTGCTGCTTACTATCTTCTTATACCCAGCCCAAGGAAACATAAGCGCTGCACGCACACGCCAAGTACACCCTTCCAACCTTGTTCTAAATTACTATGCGGCTACTCTGTCCTTTTGTTTTTTAACTTACAAAATTTGAATACACGTCTGTTTACAAACTTGATAGAGATGATGTTTGTCCAGCTCAAAGACGAGATACAAATCGACATCATTGGAAGGAAAAGGAAGATGAAATGCAAATTCTATGAATTACGAGTGAATTTGGAGTCTCGACAGTAGAAACAATGTACCGTGTGTAGTGAGATAGCAGAGTCTGCTAGGGACGTCGACAGTAAATCGCCACATCCCATTAAAGTGTTTGAGGGGGAATCACCAAAATAATGTATTTATTCATATCTTTTAGTAGGATCACTTCTAGATTTTAAGATATGCGGTATCAGATTAGTTTTGATAATCATTTTATTAACGATATATTTATAATTTTCTTGAGTTTCCTTTCTTTATTTTACTAGATAATATACCATTAAATCCCCCCATATATGTACTTCTTTTAGTGCCCCCTCAGAAGTGCAATATGTGTGTGACCAGTGCAGGCAATACTCTTCTGTCAATTGCGGATGCTCGGCCTGGTTTCTGAAATCCATCTTGGCCATCTAAGATCCTAAGATCATTTTAAACTACCTTCCATTGTTTACCAAGGATTTTACCTGCATCTTTATCCACGTACTTATTTTCATCTAACTCTGCTTGTTACTAACTTTTTAGTTGTGAAAGTATTTGTTCATTGATATATTTTTTTTACTTTTGTTAAAACTTTTTATCTGATTAAACTTATCTTCCAAGGAGATTGTAAGAGATTTATGGATAGGAGCAGTAGTGGAGTCAGGAATTTTAAATAATGGGGTCATCATATAAACCAAAAAAGCTTTTAACTAAACTCTATAGTGGTCGAGTAATGTTGAGGACTGCCAAGGTTTTTCAACTAAGGTATTTCATTGAACACATGGTGCATAAAATAGAGTCGCACACAAGAAGAGAGAAAAGAAAGACAAATATGATAGAAGCAAATAGAAGTAGGAAAAGGTTGTAATTTAGTTTGCCTTAACTATTTATAGGGGTCAAATACAATACACAAACAAATATACATGGGCATTTTGAAGTCATTGGGGTCAAAAGCAACCAATGACCCATGCTAGCTCCGCCACTAGAGAGTAAGCAATGTATATTGTCTTCCAACGTACATTACTACGAGAGTAAGCAAGCTACCTTGCTTACTCTGCTACATATGTGTTTGGGCCGAGCACTAAATTGTTCTCGGCCCAAAGGCCGTATTTAGAAGTCATTGGGGGTCATCCGGTTTATGGGCCACATAGCCAAGGCTGGCCGTGTCTTATTAGGAATCCATGGGTAGTTGAATCCTAATACGAGAAGAAGTTTCGATAAGATAAGGATGTTGGAGTTTGTGATTGAATCTGGCTTGATAACGGGTTGAGTTCAAAGTCCTAGTAGGAGTAGGACTGGCTGAGATAAGGGGAGATTGAGGAAAGAAGTCCTAATTCGAGAATGGTTGTGATT